AGTGCACACACACAGCAGTGAACACACACACACCGTGAACACACACCCGGAGCAGTGGGCAGCCAGCACCCGGGGAGCAGTTGGGGGTTCGGTGCCTTGCTCAAGGGCATCTCAGTCATGATATTGAAGGTGGGAGAGAGCGCTGTACATTCCCCCCCCCCACCTACAATCCCTGCCGGTATGAGACTCGAACCCCGCAACCTTTGGGTTATGAGTCCGACTCTCTAACCATTAGGCCACAACTTCCTCAAAATATTCCTCTGCCAGATTAGAACAAATGAACTGCTGTTGAATTTAACGGAGTGATATTGAGAGTTTGATTGGTTTTTATGTTTCAGTTCCCTGTAGGTCGTATCCACAGGCACCTGAAGACCCGAACTACCAGCCATGGTCGTGTTGGAGCTACAGCAGCGGTGTACAGCGCCGCTATCTTGGAGTACCTGACTGCTGAGGTAATTATTTTATTTTGGCACGGTTTGTTAAACAAGCCTGCTGGATGTCATAGTGGCAGATTGTTGGCTGGCTGTGATTTCTCTTACTGTGTAAATAGTCTCTAATGCTTGCAAATGCAACCTTGTTCAAACCCATATTCGCAGGTTTTGGAGTTGGCTGGTAATGCCTCCAAGGATCTGAAGGTGAAGCGTATCACTCCAAGGCATTTACAGCTGGCCATCCGTGGTGATGAGGAGTTGGACTCGCTTATCAAAGCTACTATTGCTGGCGGAGGTGAGTTTCTTTCAACTCTGGATTTTTTTTTTTTTTTTTTTAGTGCAGGGTGTTAAAAAGAAAACGTAGCTTTGATTCTGTAAAATGATAGTTTTAGGGCTGATATTATTTTAATGGCATGTCTTTGTGTCTTTTCCTACAGGTGTGATTCCACACATCCACAAGTCACTGATTGGAAAGAAGGGCCAGCAGAAAACTGTATAAATGCATTGATGTTCGATTCTGTCTTTGTCTAGAAAACGGCAATCAGCATTGAGAGAGCAGTTGCTTTTGTTACATTTCCCCATTTGTTTGGTTATGTTTGGTAAGCGTAGTTTAACATAACAATGGTTAGAGTTTGACATACTATATTCATGATAATTAACGGGGAGGGGGTGTTACATGTTGTGGGGTAAGGAAATGTAATCATGGTTTTTGTTTAGTTGGGTTAAGGAATGGGTTTTGTGAGGTTTGGGTTTCATTATTGGCTTTTTAAAATCTGTTTTATACATTAAAAGATTTTTTTTTTTTTCCTAAATGTTTCGCCTTTTTGTGATTTTCATTATTCCTTAGAAACTCCTCATATTAGCTAATTGCTGCAGGAGATCTATTAAAATGAATCCTGATAGTCGTTCTTGGATCTGACATAAGAGATTGTGAATCAAATGTATAGAAAACATTTTCCTAGCTACATTTCCATTGTATATATCTTTTGAAATAAACGAGTAACTAAAAAGTACAGAAATGTATAGATTTAAACGCTTGGGTAAAAAGTATTTAAGGAAATTTTTCAATGTTAACTTAAGCAGATGATTTTATGATGGTTTTGTATTATATATTATAGTTGATAACTAAACATTTATTTAACAGGTTTCTGTGGGTCTTAAAAAGTCTTAATTTTCCCTTCTACAAATTAAGGCATTAAAAGATCTTAAATCGGAGCAGAAAGTATTCAAAGAATTCATAGTCCTGGCATTAAATATTGCATACACTGCAAAAAAAAAGAATATCTTTTTCAGTATTTTTGTCTCGTTTTCCAGTATTAATATCTAAACATCCATAGATCACATTACATTTACTTAAAGGGGTCATAGGATGCCCATTTTCCACAAGTTGATATGATTCTTTAGGGTCTTAATGAAAAGT